ACTTTTTATGATTTTGCTCGTACTATATGTGTAATAGTGCTCTTTTATGTTCAATCTTAAGCTTCAATTTTTCATTCCTTGGCCACGCGATCTGTTGGTACTAGTTAAGACACTAGTCAACGGTAGCTTTTTATGTGCTATTAAAATCTTTTTATTTTACATCTATTAAAATGAATTAGTTCGAATAACTAAATAAATGTCACAATACCCACTTATCTCGCAAATAATTATTTTTGAACGCAATATGAACTCTCTATCTACTAGGGAATATCTCGCTCTAACCACCTTAAAAGATTAAACTCGATACAAAAGTTTAAGTCCGAAATAAAATCTTTTCTGCTGCACAACTGCTTTATATAATTAGAGAATACACCCAACATACAAAAGGAAAGTAATAGTAATTTTAACATTTATTGTATTATTTACCATTTGGATTATATAATTCTGAAGAACCTGTAACAAGTATTGTACAACAGCTTCTGGGTTAATGACCCCCATCTCGATCAGGTTTTTCGTCCAGTTTCCCTGATCCTCGAGTAAATGCTGAGATGGCTCCTTGTTTTGCTTCTGGACATAAATGTAACTTCAAATTAACTTCTCCCATAGCACGTCACACACAGTTTTTAACTGTTTTTGACGTAAATAAATGAGACATCCTATAATTCGGTTTTTATAACGTGGCGCGTCAAAACCGGTTTTCACGGTGGAATATCTCACAGCATTTCTCGGTCGTGCCACTAGATGTCGCATTATAGCGACCGCATCAAGCAGTGCGATGTATTTTGCGGCATTAGCGGCAAGACTGAGAAAGACGCAAAATGCCGTGAGATATTCCATGGCGAAGATAGGTCCGGGCGCACCACGTTATAAAAACTGAAGTATAAAGTATTGAAATAATTTTTTATCCTCCACCACGTTGGGATATAATACATGAAATTCTGCTTTAGAGATTATCGTTCTATTTATAAAATAAACCTAGAATCGTCTATCTTCGACTGCTTCATTTTCTTCCACCATTAAAAGTGAAAGAAATGCGATTGCTTCTGTACTTAAATTATGAAATTGTCTCGTCCAATACAAGAGAAGGAACGAGGAGCCAGTGACTTAGAAGCTGACCGAAATATCGGGTCTGCCTGTCTCGTGCAGGCCTAGTGTGGTCCACACAGATCCGCACAGAAACTGCTGTCCGTGCCGTACCGACCCAGCGCGCCCTAGGCTTTAGTGAGTACTATCGCATGGGGGTGGTTAGTGTCAGAAGCGTGTAGTGTGATTCCGCGAACCAATGTTTAAAATCTTATACATACTAATAAAAGTGAATTCAATAACATGAAACTCACATCGATACCACAAAAAGTGTATGAATAGATACGAAATGTATATAGTCTCTTCAGGATTGTCGCAGTGACCTTGCGGAGTTTGGTGAAGATTAAAACAACACAAACGCGGAAAATAAATAATTTAAACAACATGTTGGAAGATGCACCATCGTCTGTGAACAACACTTGCGCCAAAACAATGCGTAGGAGTTTTTCCAAACAGAATAAGCTGTTATCGATCAGGCCTCACTCCAGGTTCTGTGATTTTGAAAAACATTCATTCATTTTCGGGAGTAGGGGAGACCGTGGTTAATTGTGACATTGTATTTACTGACCGATCCGTTAGAACGCAGCTCACGATAGTTTACTTGCACATTTCAAAACTTTGTCTCAGGGTGCTCTTTGAGTTGTTGCAGAAATCATTGCTTGATTTGTTTATTTAGGAACGTTTTGTGTTTTATAGGTGAAGTAAAAATCTATCAGATTGTTGCACTCAACCTTAGCAATGACAAATCTGAGGAATGTTTAACTACTCAGCATTATCTAAAAAAATTGCTTCTTAAGCCATAATTATTCGATGTTGTTTGGTTTATATCACTTTTATATTTTCGTAAAACCCTTACGAATTTTTGCGCCCATTTGAGATTTTGCGTTCCGATTTTGATTTGCTTGGGCGGCGTGAAACGCTGTGTGTTTGTGTTTGCGGTGAGAGAAGCAGATTGCCTGAGACTTTTCCGCTGAGAAAGTCAAGTGTTCATTTGTTTTTGTAGTGTTTTCAGTTTATGATTCAGGTTCATTCCTCTAGCTGGGACTGCTATGTCGTCAGCATACAAGAATAGCCTAATCCGTGGTATGTCATTGACATATAGCGAGAACAGTAGCGGGGAGAGCACGGAGCCTTGGGGGACTCCGGCAAAAATCCTGCGCTTTGAGGATCTCGATTTTCCCACTTTGACCACGAAGGTGCGGTTTGTGAGAAAGGATGCAATCATATCCGTTACACCTTTAGGGAGGCTTTGTCTTAATTTGGAAAGAAGTCTTTTGTGTGGCACATTGTCGAAGGCTTGTACCATGTCCAGGTATACGACTAATACATCCTGTGAGAATATGAGGTCAGCGGAGATCTGCTGGGCCATACATAGTGCCTGGAGTGAAGCTGAATGTCCCGGTCGGAAGGCAAATTGCTCATCTCGTATAAGGTTTTGTGAGATAGCTGGTTTGATTCGCGCAAGGATTAGCCTTTCGAAAACTTTCCACATGATTGGGAGCAGGCTGATAGGCTTAAGGTTCGTCGCGAGGGTAAGGTCTTTACCCCGTTTCGGGAGCATTGAAATACTCGCGTGTTTCCAGCTTTCCGGGAAATAACGTAGAGTGATGCAGCTATTGTAAAGGCGTGTTAGATCAGAACTAATGATCGGAAGCGCTTCTTTCAGGATTGGGGGACCGATCTGGTCGGGGCCCGGTGCCTATTGAGTTAGTTTGTGTGACTTCTTGGATAGTGCAGTGTGAGAGTATTGCGTTGTTGCTTTCCTCTGCATTTTCCTCGTCGTCGTCTGTTTGCGAGGTGTGGTTTGTGAATCTTTCTTTGTCTGCGAAGAATTCCGCGTTAGCTTGGTCGGAGAAAAGGTTAGTTGGTTTTCCTTCCGCGTTTTCAGGTCCTTGAATGGCTGTGTTTGTGTTTGGTACGGACCTCAGAGCTTTTTGAAGTTAGAAAAGACCGTTTCATGAGTGATCGGTTCCGATCTCCCACTCGGCTGCGTGATGGTTTGGGAGTACCGCTTTTAGGCGGTTTTCGCACTCTCGCAACTGTGTTTTGAATGCGGGGCATCTGAACTGTAGCCAGAGCCATCTAGCCATGCGTTTTTCGCGCAGAAGTTTCTCTACATCGGGTGGAACAGTAATTGATACTTCCTCAGGCTGTCGCCAAAATACAGGTGTTGCCTTCCTGTGAGCCGACTGTAGTTGTTTAGTGAGTGTTTGTATCCGTGCATGAATAGATGCTTTAGAGTGTATGATTTGCGGAGAAGTTGTGTGTGATGTGGCGAGTAATGAGCGAACTCGTTCCAATTTGTGGGTTGTGGGACCCACTGCTTGGGACAGCTGAAGAAGCGTGTGCTGCCTTCAGTGAAGGTGATAGGAATGTGATCAGATAGGGAAAAGGGGATTGGTTTTAGCGTTGTTACCCGGAGGTTTCCGGCCGTTACCGCCACGTCTAGGATTTCAGGTCTTTCTCTGGGGTTTGTTGGAAAACGGGTAGGGGTAAAAGGTGGGACGAGATTCATTGAGGGGTGTGGTAACAAAAAGCTTATAAGTAAGGTAAGAGCTGTTAGTGGTGTTGCATCCTCATCCTTCGCACTTGACGTTGAGGTCGCCCGCCAGGACCGTGCGAGGTGCTAGGGAGAGCACCGTGTCAAAGTCTTCCTCTATTAGAGGTCTGTTTGGTGCGAGGTATGCAGATACTGGAGCTACTTCGCCCTCCGTCGAGTTCGCCACGATTGCTACAGCTTCGAGGCGCGCCAGGCGGGGGAACGTTGCTAATCGGTGGTGTATTTAGCAGCGTAAGACAATCGCTACGCCACCCCCGCTATATGGAACTGCCTCACCGCCCGCTGCGCGCCGCTTTATACCCCTCAGGACTGAAGGCTCGGAAAATGGTCAGTGGCATTTCACCACTGAGGTTCCGGGTTCGATTCCCATAGAATCCCCGTAAAACTTCATATGAATTTTGTCAACCACAAAACGAGATTGCCTGCTTCACAGGGGCTAGTCCTAAACCTTACCCCTATCCTTATTTTTCCCCCAATTCTGGCAGATAGGTAGATGACACTTGGCGCGTGCGAGCGCGAAGACGCTCCCTGTCTGCAATTCCCTGACTCTACTACAACTGACGTGATTTGACAACACAGCGGCCCCTAGAGGGCGCTTAATAACGGAGGATTGCTCCACTGCGCTCAACGCTCCTTAAGAAATTAGGACATGCGATGCGTCCATATAGACGCCAGATGCCTAGACAGAAGTAGCAATTATTTCTTACTTTGATAAATGCAATAAACAGGAATATATTTGTCTGATAGAGTATTCACAGAAAAAGTATGTAGAAAAGAGCAACGCATTGTTGCATTGCGTTGTCAAAACTATGTGCATTCGCTTGGCTAAGAATTATAATTCAGGTATTTGGATACATGAAATTGACACTCCTAAGTGGTCTTTTATTCAATACGCAGTTGATCTACTAAGGCATTTTTTGATGAAGCAATTAACACGACATACCCTTGTAGTCAAAATATATTTTTCGGAAAAAATAGAAACTAGTGCTACAAAAGCACGCACTTTTTCGCGATATTTTTAATGGCCGGAATTAAGGACCAATAAAACAGGGATTCTCGTTACACCACGTGTTAGAGGTATTTTTGTTAATTTTGCAACTGCATTTATCCATTTTTTCTTTATTAGGTCCAGGCAATGAATTTTTTTTCTGCTGAAAATCCGCCGTTCTTTTGTGATGCATTACATAACTTTCCCTATACTCCGTATATACGAATACGGGAAAGTAAAATTCGTAAGTAAATACTCGTAAATTCTTTATAATAGCAATTAATTTTTATTTGAAGGAAGAGATATAGGATTAGAAAAATGAAAGGAAAAAAATAATTTTGGGTCTGAAATGAATAAATGTTGTAAATTAATGTTTCTTCTACAACAAATGTATTTGTAATGGTTTAGTTAACACATACATTACACAAGAACTTTTCTTTTTATCACATGTTTAAATATATTATTGTGACATACATTCAAAGTAAATGGTATAAAAATATATTAACCATTCTTTCGAAAATGAATTCTTTAATTATATATTGAGTATGAAATACTTTTCATATTTCAACCAACCATCACACGAAGTCATAAAACTGGAAAATGCAAAGGATCTTCTTGTTAGCCGATTTATTGAGGAGGTGGCCCTCTTGGCCAATTGAGTTCCATTTTCTGAGCCAGAACTCTGTGTAGCTCTGGCCACAATGAAAGAAATTTACACCAAATATGCCCATCATAGAATTGTGTTAATGTTTGGAATAAATACCAAACCAACATCACTATTAGTACCTGTATGATTCTGCATTGAAAACGCGATCCATTTTGCTTCTTGTGTTGCATGATTGTGTTCCAGCAAACAGATCTAGCAAATCATATAAATGAAAATTGGGTACAAATTAATTAAAATACATTAATAAAAACAACAAAGTTTTAAACTTGCTAGTGAAGAAGTGTGCTAAATCTGATCCAATTAATTGATTGTTACACTAATTTACAGTTAAAAAATTAAGGTGTCTATAGTTATTAATATAAATAACATTTTTTCTTGTACAAGGCAAATAAACTCTCATCAAAAGTTTAGAAATGAGATTATGGTCACCAAAGCGTTATTTGTTGAGTATTGGTAAAAAATATTAATTTCCATACCCACTGTATTCTTATTTTAAATTCTTTAATTAATGGTTAAGTTTTTGTTGCTACCTGTGTCATTCATGTTAAAAATATCATATTTGGTTAATTTTTCAGTTCCCTAGAATGTAATTTAAATTTTCCACATGAAGCAATTTGCTGTTTATGAGAAATTCATAAAAATTACTTAGTATGTACTTTGTTTAAATACCTTCCATATTTAAATTTCACTGAAATTTACAAGACTTCAAATCAAATTGTAGCTCACTACCTATTTTGGAAGTGTTCTTGGTGGACGAAGATAAATTAATGGACAGACATTTCTAAAATCACTTTCAAATACCAGGAACCCTCCCCAAAAATGTCGTCTCCCAAAATCTGAATATCGATACATTATATACTTAGTGAACATGAAATTAAAATTTTCTTTGAAGAACACCAGTGTTGAGTCTAGAGTTTCATGCCTTCAATGAAATATAAATATGGAATTGACAGACAGTCAGCTCTTATTATCAAAATTTGTTAAGCCTTAATTATGATTCTCTTTTGAATCTCAGATAACATACTTTGGTACGGACCACAATGAAAACATTTGTATTACTAGTTTAGTGTCCTTTGCTACAGATATTTTAATATATTTATTAGGGAAACGTTATTAGGTCGAAATTATTAGGGGAAATAAAATTTAGGGAACTACATGCAGAAGGGTCTGTGAGATCAATTGAACAAAAAATTCTCTAAAAGCATTGTACACATTTGTTATATTTCTGACATTTATGTAGAATTATTATTTGTGTTAACAATTATGTTACATACTTGTTCTATATGGCCCTTTAGTTTTTTAACAGACCTTTATTTGACTATTGTAGTGTTTATATAATAACACTATGTAACATTCTGAAATAGGTTTTATTTATCTACTGTCAATGTAAACATTATTTTTTATAGCCTGAGGATGAGGACAAATAGTTCCTCGAAACTGTTGCAATAAAACCTATTACAGAATGTTACATAGTGTTATTATGTAAACACTACAATAGTAAAGTAAAGGTCTGTTAAAAAACTAAAGGACCAAATAGAACAAATATAAATGAACAAGAACAGACACATGAAGATTAACAAATAAAGTTGCATGTTGTGTCTAACTACGGCAACTTTCTCTGCATCATAGAGTAATATAGAGTAAATATATGTAAGAAATTCCCTCTGTACTTCTTACCTTGCATGATAAATAGCTCCTCTGTTGCAACAAAATAACTTGGTTATAGAAGTGTGGTGATTTCCATATTGCTTCTTGCACAAAATTTTCATTGAAAGGGCATTTTTCAAAGAAATATTAAAAAGCTGGTGTGATTCAGGTGAGACCACATTGGAAACTTCTCCTTGACTCTTCACAGTTTCCATATACCTGATTTCCATTGTAGAAAAGATGTTTCTGGATATAATTTATTCATGAAAGTGTACCATGGAAAAATAAAATACACAGAGAGGAAGTAGGAAGTTTGAAACACACTAAACACAGCTTTCATTTACAACTAAGAGCAAAGTTTGATAACAGAATAAAAAGCAAGCTTTAGTGATTTATCTATAGCCTTCAAGGGATACAGGCTGCAAGGACAAGAGTGGACCATATATATATATATATAATATATATATATCACTATATATATCTAGTGTGTTATGTATATATGTATATATATTATTATATATATCTATATACACACACATTTACATTTTCAATAATATTCAATGTTTTAATATTTACTACATTAAAATTCGCGTGTTTCTTTTTTAATACTTTACTGTTTTGATTTAATGCAACCAAACAAAAACCCACTCTTTACAGTATGTTTCTAATAAGGATTTAAATTCGCTGTCGAAGTTCAATGATAACAAATGATCTAAAAACTGATTTTAATTGAAATACACATTTCAAGGTTCCCTGATTCCGAAATATTGTTGTTTTTCTTGTTTGTTTTTTTGGACATTTTTGGAGTCTACAATATTTAAAATAGAAATATATTAAATTAAATTTATTCTACAAAAATTTTCCAATTTTCAAAGTTCAAGTGTTATCAGGAAAATTGGATCTATGCTATCTTTGTAAGTACATTTCACTCTATTCTTACAAAATTGTACATAAAATATTGAAAATGTCCCAATTTTATGATTTCTATAAGGTATCTTGCAAATTTAAAGACTTAAATTTATTTATTAATTACTTTTCAAACTGCCAGAGCTTAGTGTGGGTCAAGGCCAATCAAAGAAGATTCATTTTGGCAAATTTCTTACAAATAATTGAGGCACTAGAGTTGTTCATATATAACAGACTGATGTTTTGAAAAAAGAAAGAAGAGGGGAAGAAAAGGAAGGGAAAATAGCAACAAAAAAACAACACTTTTTCAGTATCAGGGAACTTTGGAATGTGTATTTCAATTGAAATCAATTTTTCACAACATTTCATAAATTTCTATATATTATACATATTACTCTTTATATTAGATTAGATTTATTAATAATTCTGCAATTAAGTGTGAGATCTAGGTGGCAGAATACACTAACTTAACGTTAAAGAACTTAACAACTTTACAAAATCTACAAACTTTACAAATTCACGTGAACATTTCACCGTACAATCTGTCATGGGGCCAATATACATATGTATATGAGAAAGGAAAAATCATGAACAAGTGGAATAAATGCAATACATCTTAAGCTACAGATCATTTATTTTCATTGAACTTTGCAAATTTAAATTCTTTTTAGAAACAGGCTGTGAAGAGTGGGTTTAAATTAAATATTTAAAATCTACTTCTAAGGTAAAGACAGTCCATCACACTGATCACCTTTCCAAGAGAAAGCTTTGCTAGATATTTAACATCACACAACTAGAGGCAAGTTGAGCATTCATTATACAATATTCACATTTTTAATTTGTCATGTATTTCTAAGTAACTCACTTTGATTCTTTTGATGAGCTCTGAGAAATGGAGCCAATTCTATTTCTGTTTTGGACAACAGTACAACTACATTTTGCACATGATTTGGGTATCAAAAACCTTGACGAATTCACAGGAATGCTCTGCGACAAAGAAATATACCATTAATGACCATTGCTGCTTTAAAGCACAACAAAATGATTGGTATAGACCTACACCACAGAAATGAAACCATCACAAAAGTTTCATGAACTTTTGCAAACAGCTGCAAAGTTTCATATCAACTAATGTCACTAAACAAATGAGACAATACTACAAACTGATTTCTTGGTATGGTTTCAGTATGTAATGAGCAAAACCAAGTAAAAATGAAAACCTAGATTTGGAGATGTAAGTCGCAAATTGAATGTGTTGGTTGTTATTCTGGGAACAACTCAGCCTTGACAGCCACCCAAGATTTTGCGCACAGTGGTGCTTGTTTGAAGAATGTGTGCCAAGTCTTGAAATGATAATTTCTTAATTCTGAATAATGACAGTTAAATTACCTTTTGTAAAAAGTTGTTTTCTTTTACAAATAATCCCTTAATTCTTCTCCTATATTTTATGTAATAGCAGCTTCAGAGAATAATATTGGTGAACATTAATGTAAATTAGAGACACATTTCTATCTCTTAAAAAACTTTGTATAAAATAGATAAGATGACCGCTGGTATTTCTGAATTCCAAATAAATTTTACTGTTTATAACTATTATCAGGAATTGCAATAATATGTTTATGTAACTTTTTGTTTCCAATTTTGAAAATTCAATGACAATACTTTGTTAAAATACAGTTGAGAACTCTATCATAAGATGTACAACAAATGAAATATCATTCTCCATGCGAACGATAAAAGAGGATATAGTGCAGTCAATGGGAAGCCAAAAGGGGGTCCACCTTGCAAAAGGTGAGAGAGAAGATTTAATTTTTTTATTTTGTTTATATTGTTAAAATAATAATATATTTATTTTGGCCACAATTGGCGTCTTTGCCAGGTGGTAGCCATGTTATTAGTAAGGAAACCCCAAGTTTTCTACCTCGAAATATTTTGGAGCAAGCCCCCCACAAAAAAATCAACCTTTTTCTGGTTTTTGTGTAATGGCTTTTTAATGGTTGATCTAAGGGGGAAATAATTATGTACAATTTCAAAGGTCATAAAACTCTTTACAAATTTGCTTTATAAATTATTTTTCTCACAAATAGTAGCATTGCTAAGAGATTTTTAAATTTCACCAAATTTTCCTTTTTGTTCTGAAGTTGTGCAAAATTGCTCAGTAATGTCTAACATAGAATTTTTGAATTCCTTAAGTCATTATAAATAAAAAAACCGATTAAATACTAATATTTTAAAAAATACTGAGGTTAATCTCGGGTTGGAAAGTTCTTGTAATACTGTCTATTCGTTCTAGCAACTGACACGATTTACTTACATCAAAAGCATTTCAATACAATAAAATGACGTTCGTTTCTTCTTTTTATAACAATAATAATTTTAATTATTATTACCGTTATTATTATAAAATAATAATTTTATTACTTAAGAAATGATAACGTGCAACATGGCAGTCTCTACTTCAAGGAAAAACTGTATTTAGTGGTACTATTTAGTACTATTAAGACGTGCTTCCTAATTATTGAAATTAATTATTTTTATTAAAGGACGTTATGGTGATTATCATTTACAGCAGATTATGAAATCTTAAATCTCGATCACACCATATCCCCAATAGCACTCCTGTATCATTCGATTTCCTCGATCCTATTTGAACAGGAGGTTCGCAATAAATAACGATGAATGCAGATTGCGTGCAAAGAATGAATATTAAGTTCTGCGTTAAGCTCACCCCCAGGAAAACCTCGAGTGAAACGTGGCCTCTGTAAGCTAGCATATGCGGGCGAGTCACTATCTAGAAGTCGTGTTTTCGAGTGGCACAAAAGGTTTCGTGAAGGCGATCAGTGCAAGACGATCCCACAGCTGGTCGCCGTTTACATCACATATCGATGCAAAGGTGGAGCGTGTGCGGCAGTTATTGCAGAAGACTAATGAACACTGTAATGTGTATTTAGAAGACCACCCGGGTAACTGGGCGTACGATATCAAAATGACTAAATTTGAATCGCGATGTGTGTCACAAGATTTTACGCGAAGATGTAAGGAAACGGACAAATAATGCAAAACTTGTCCCGCAACAGTTAAACAGAGAGATCAAAGACGAAGAATTTGTGCTGCACTATTGGATAGAGACAGACTTGATTCCACATTCGAGTCCAAGATTATCGCAAGGGATGGAAGTTGGTGCTAGCAGTGTGGCCCTCTCGTGACGCGTCAAAAGGTCGAATGGCGGAGTTATGCATCATCAGCCGCGAATGTCAAACGAAAACCTTCGAGAACAAAGACAATGTTGATCGCTTTCATTGATAGTAGTGGCTTGGTTCACTATGAGCTTGTACTGCTTTATCTGTTAACGTGTATCAGGTCAGACATACTGTTATTGCCATCCCACACCCGCCATATTCGCCCGAATTCACAGCGTATGATTTGTTCTTGTTTCCACGAGTTAAAAGGCGACTGAAAGGAAAGCTTCATGAAGATACGGCAGACATCTGACTGTGACAAATGAGCTTACAAGCATCGCAGCTGCAGATTTCTCTGCTTTCATCCAAGACCTCCAGAAACGTTGACAATTGTGTATAGATAGCCAAAGGGACTACTTTTCTAGGGGCTAGGATGATTACTTCGTAATTGCAATTTTCTAATTTTTACTTTGTCCTAGAACTTTTATGACAAAGAATGTATGTCAGGAGTGTGTTTCATATGCGAGGCAGTGGCATAGGCTCAAAGTATGCGAGTGATGTGTTACATCCTTTAGTTTTGCATCTGTTAAAAATCTTTTCTGTAATGTTTTCTTTTTTCTTCACTTTCTTACGTATCTCTCGACATTTATCTATTCCCTCTCTCCACTAACGTGCGCTGTCCAATAGACGCTACTTTCCACTCTGGATGTGACTGGGGAGAAACACCCTTGAACGACCTCTCTTCGTTGGCGAGGTCGTTGATCTCACGGCCAGGCTCTCTGAGCAGCTGTGTGGTTTCGACTGCCGAAGATTTGACATTGACTCTCACATAACAGGCTTCTGAGTTCTCATTGGCGTTTGTGTACACCCTCCCAAGAACCTTCCAACCCCCCCCCCCTTACGCCACGTGCCGCGATTGTGGACCCCTAAGCGGGGAGCGGGAGGCTGTTTTTCTCCACAATTCATGCAAGTCTGCCAACAACGCCTAAGCGCATTTCAACCTGATTATACTGCGAGTTTCGCAACTCTCCCCTAGCAATAGTGCCCATCATTTGAACGTCACCATGGGGTGACGTTCAATCTCCCGAAAGGATAAAACCGTCAATACCTGCCAGGGGCAAAATTGCATAAATCGCAGTATGAGTATAGCTCGATGTGGGTTAGCAGGCATAGCTAAACGAGGGCACTCCCTTCATGTAAAGAAATAGTACGATAAGGACAGTCCGTGAAGTCGAAACAGTGCGTGCCATGCTATTTCGTTCATTGGTGTCGTGTGCTGTGGCGTAAGTGCTGTTTCGTACTTAATGTGCGATAAACAGACTACTTTGTCTAACTAGTAATCCGTTAAAGAGAATCAAGAATATGAAATTGTAACGCGAAAGAATAAAACATTTTTTGTGTGAGGACTCGACATGGCGAGCTCATCCTGTGTTTGTGGTAGTGGATGAATTACATGTGGCATAGAACAGTAGTGAAACGTTTCATTGTGCTATAGACAGGAGTCTTCAAGTTCCTTTTAGTTCTTTCTCCTATTTGCAAAAACTTAAGGTAATTAGTGATGATCAACCATTTAATATATCACTATAAAACTGAAGAATTGTGTGCGACATTTTAGTGATAAGATATATGAAAGTGATTTTCGGTCGAGCTCTCAATTTAAGAGAACGTGACCACTGTATCTGCCAGAAAACAGCGGCGAATAGATATCGAGTTCAAAAATTAGGTATGTACTTTTTATGGTTCATTTTTTAGTTTTATTGTTTTCTTTATGCAAGTTAATGCATGCAATGAGACATGTGATTTTCAATGAAGATTCAGAAGGTATCTAATTTGCGGAATAAAGTACCAAAATACTTAAGACTAAAGTAGAATGACGCACACTTTAAATATTTAGAATTATGCGTTCAACCTGTGATCTCATGATCGCGTCCCCATGTCTAGGAGCCAGGAGACGCCACTGATGTGAGGGAGTTTGGACGGAGGGGAAGTGGTTGTGAGGAAGAAAAAAGATCCATTCAAAAATTGTTCTTGTGAGAAGATGTGACTATACCTAAACCTTACCATGTAAATTACGACTATATTAATCCAAAATCGAGTTCTGCATCAACTCGAAAGGAAAGCGAGCAGTCTCAGCCAGGGAATCGCAAAATTCGTTCACACAATAGCCACTTATGTTTCTACAATAGTTTAAAAACGTATTGTTTCCTATGTGAGAAAGAGAATACGACTGAATTTATGGAATCACAAAAAGAAATTGCATGCACGAGGTTACCTATACGAAGTTTTCTTCGATATCAATCACTGCACATTAAGGCAGTCAATATGCATGGAATCAGCAAATAACACGTATTGCTGTCGATGATTTGGTCACAGAAGAAACTCGATTGCAGATTGGAGAATTATTGTCATTATTCCTCCTATGGGATGGAAAACATTATTAGATCATCCAATATGTTCACATTATGATCTGGGTTGTCAAACAAGAACTGACAGAATGCGTCATTACTTAGTTTTGTAGCTTTTATTCTTTATTTAACAGAAAGAAAGGCAATTCAAGTAATGAAGATTCTAAGTACCATAAAGTGAATTCAATAGCATATCAGATATCAAGAATGATTTTGATCCAAATTTGTTACATACATAAGCGCCTGTCAAAATGGAAAAGAAAATACTTGTCTTACTGCTGCCGATACGACGACATGTGCCAACGATATGCATTTTTTCTTTCATTAATCAATTGCACTCTTCTTGAGTTTTAAAATCTCCGACTCAAATAATAAAAACAACGTATCTGGTATGTCCGATTCA